TGTGAAATATAACAGAGGCGTTGAAACAAGTTAAAACATTTATATATTATAACAGTATATCGTTTCAAATACAACAATGCATATTATCACACGATATGTAACCCAGCACCGGTGTTGCCTCCCAAATGTCACTTGCACACGCGTACGCGACACATGTCTCACACTCGACAAGTGTGGGGGGATGTATTTCACATGAATATTGGCCAACACAAACAGTTCACTCGCGATTCTTTGGCATAACCACACACGTGTCGATGTCCATCCCGGACAACGTCCACTTAGTGTCTTACCGCGCTAAACACCAGTCCAGATCATCGGTTTCTCCTTTACGCCCGTGCTTTCCACCCCAAGCTATCTTTTCCTTTTGGGCCTCTCTGCCTTCTTCGTCAACCTCCCAAGGGCGACAGCTCGGTCATTACTTTCGTTTATGGTTGCACACCACGATTATTTAAAACTTTAACAAAATACTATCCACATGTAACAAATAGTGCATACATTTATTCTGACAGATACTGGGGCGTCGAAATGCCCTCGCTGCTTTCGACCAGGACATTCCCTATGGAAAAGTAGACCAGTATCACTATGGGAAGAATAAATGCACAAAATAACTCCATAAACAAACAAATAAGGGATGTGACAGATCCCCGAGGAGGGCATACGACATACTGACGAGTCAGTCGATTTAACTTTGCGTCATTGGCGGTACAGTCAAATGTGCTTCAATTAATCATTAATTATCGGTCAAAATCTAATGAAATTAAGATAATGTGTTTATCAAAACACTATATCACTTCAAATGTTTTTCTTTATCCGTTCAAAATACATAAAGCTTTGCAGCGTATTACCTTCGAGTAATCAATCTGACAAATTGTTTAGCTTGGTAACATTTTGTTTTTGTTATAAACTGTGTCAAATTTCAACATAAGAAGAATACCTGGAAACTATTAAGAATACCAATATGCGTATACAGTTTAAGAGCTGATAACTGGAACTATATGCAGGCACTTTTGGGAGTTTTGTATCTATATATAGATATAGAATACACAAATATTTTGAATTATCACACACTGATTGTCCGTCATTTAATCATATTTATATCAGAGACAGCAGTATGTTTCTGCATAGATAAGGCACTTATGAAAATATTGATGACTGACAAATTAAACTTCTATCAGGAAAATTAATGTATTGATTTCCAAAAAAAGCAGATGTTTGTATTTGCAACAAGACAAAAAGTACCGCAAAGTAAAACGACTTAAGGAACTGTGAAAAAAAGTTAAATTCCATATATCTTAATTTTGTGTGAATTCAATATATTTAAGAAGCCGGGGGTGCTCATATTGCGACATTTAGAATAGTACCTTGTCAAATCCTTATCATCATTAGACATTCACTAGAACCTGTTAAGTAAGATATATGACCTTCGCTGACAATGTACGTCTTTCAAACCGCAAAATGGTTATCACTAATAACTGTAAGTAGCCATAACCCTAATTGTATCAGTTTATTTATTTCAAATAATTTGTTCTATTTCGCCAGCATTTATCATTTACATCCACTTACTTCCGGTACTGCAGAATCTTGTTTTGATTAACCGGACTAGTCTACTGAACCAGGGTGTTGCATTTCAGGCGGACCGGACCGTGCACTGAGCAGGGTTTTTCATTCGATATAATATCGTACAAGTACATGATCTTGCAAAGTTGAAGATAACGTATCCGCAGAATGTTGAGTCCCAGAACATATACTATAATGTGGTATTTGTAGTGGTAATCGCACCAGGCTAGTTGTCTTCAATTTGAATTTGACGGAGATCCCTTATCGAATTGCAATATTCAGAGGTGTCGTCCATAATTCTCAGCGTCACGATCAAACTAGACAAAGTCATCGGACATACCAGTCACGTCAACAAAACATTACTGTTGCAAAACAATATCCAAATGAAGATTGGTTTACAGTTTTTTAGGTCATGATCTTGACGACATTGAGGACACACATGTACCATCTATTATACTTCTTAGTTTTCAGTAAATACCCTTCTGTTTATGAAGGCTTGTATAACCACTCTAGTGTGACAGATAGTTTTCATCAACTTAATTGAGACAGGTAGTTAATATCTTTTTGTTTAAAAAAATATCCAATATTCTATTTTAAGAAAAGCCCATCCAGTTATATTTAATACAACATATTAGTAACGTTTTATTTGTTGATTTTGTATATGCAATACATAGAATATAACGGAGGCGCGGTAGTCTAATAGAAGCGGTAGTTTAGTGGTAGGACGCTGGGCTCGTGACCGAAGGGTTGCGGGTTCGAGGCACGGCACGGCACTGTGTTGTATCATTGAGCAAGATACTTTACTCCGCTTGTTCCAGTCTACTCAGCTGTAAATGAGTACGTGGTTAGGCAGTGCTAGAACTGTAGAATGCTATCTGTGGGCGCCGAAATGGCAGCACCGGCTGTATGCTCCCCAGGTAGTTGAGAACGATATTGGCTGGTTACAAAGGCCCTATAATCACGGATACTAAATTGTGAACCGTTTTGAGCCGACCTACGAACTTGTGATAAAGCGGTATATAAGAACCTCGAATTATTATTATTATTATTACAAGGAGACAAACTGATGAACATACCACAGACTCCCAAAACACAAGTTAATTATGCATGAACTCACCACACGCATGCATCTCACATATGGGGTGGCCGTCTTTAAATGACCATGTACAGCTGTTGATAGGACATACATTAAACAATACTGAATCAAACCTGAAGTTTATTTTGACATAAAGATCTTATTTATTTGGATAATTTCATGGAAATGATGACTTGTAATTTTAAACAAATGATTTGTTAAGTTCAGCTTGCATGCATTGTATGAATGTTATTTTAATAAAATTGTACCCATATGAATCCATGATTGTCGTGAAGTGGTGATATATTTGAATTTAATACATTTGATGCTCTATTACCTGACCTAGAATGCATTCGTAGCCATACCGAGACAATACAATAATGTGGTATAACTGTATATATATTGTGTACATAGTTTAAGCATCTGCGAGACCAGCTGCTCTAACTTACAAATGTCCAGGTGACGAGAAATAACATGACAGGAATGTTTTTATTTTTGACACGAGCTGTAGGCAATTCACTTTTCAATTCGTACTATTCTTCTCTTTGGATAATGACGCTTTAACTTGTAAGCGAAAAATAAATCACTGGAGTCACGAGCAGCATCAATACTAAAAATGTCTTTTAATATTAACGGCTACCAAACCTGTGCTCCAGGTTACAAATAAATGCTATGTCCCAATCACCTGCCCTCTGGACTGGTTTTTAAGTAAGTTGTTTTAGTGCCAAATTTTGTACAGCATGATTATTTAGCCTCTTTATCTTAATCCTTCCAACGTAGGTATCTTGTGATAAAATTTGTTGTTTGCCTAAAGTTACACTGTTACAATGTTTTACCATTTATATATATATACACATGTATATGTTTGTCGAAATACAAGCTCCTGAGAGCTTATGTTAACTATGACATATATTCAACGTAAAATAATGATTCTTGGTTCTTGTTTTTTGATGTACCCTGCCACTATGCTTTTATCCGATGGTTTTAAGATAAAAAAAACACACACACAAGCTTTTAATCACGAACTTTTTCTCGAATGCACCTATGTATAATCTTCGGCACGATGAAGGACACAAGTTAAGGTATACTGTTCAGTGGCGGATCCAAAAGGGTTTTTTGGCCTTCAGTAACCCCACCCCCTGAGAATTTTCTTTAAAAATCATGTATTTTCACCNCACGCCAGTTTTTTATTTACCATCCTGACTATGTTGCGAGGTATTTCCGGGTCACGTTCTCGTAACCTTCCGGTTACGTAAAAAATGCAATTTTTCAATTCACAAAATCTTGATAATTTATTAATTAAAGATAGTTTAAAGAATAAACGAGTTAACATAAACAATATTAATACATTGTTAATATTATTTTCTCGAATGTTTGCGAAGCAGACGACGTTTGATCATAATCTGGAAACTAGAACATTTATTTTTTCAAAAAAATGTGTTTTAACATTTGAAAGAAAAAAGTTTGAACGGGAAAAAATAAATTTGTTCTTTTATGAATTAATGAAAGTGATAAAGAAAGGAAATATAGTAAATAATTGATAGTAAATTTATCAAAAACATCATCCTTAGAGAGTATGTTCTGGGCACGATCGTTTAGAAGCTTGGCAATACTTTAAACTCTTTCAAACGCGCATCAGCTCGAGATTAGGTCCTGTTTACAAAATGGCGACTGGAAGTAGCAAGGCGGATTAAATTGGAATCTAAATTGCGTATATTTATAAGTAAACATTGTTCACAAAGCCCATGTGGTATGTTCATCTAATTTAGTCAAGATGTACGCAGAACAGTCGTTGTTTAGTCGCTAGGGTCATTCACAAAATAATTAGTATTATTATATAAACTTATTGTAATTATTATATAATAGAAGTCTGAAATAACGGAAACTATGGAAACGTTAGGGAATCTAAGTAAACAAGGTTGAGCAAGTTTACTGTTTGAAGGCATAGAACTATCGACCTTTTTGTGGAAATTTTCCAAGGTGAGAAACAAATATTTTTCACGCAGTTTTTTGCTAAACTGGGATATGCGTATATCCCGGATTTGGATAACCCACCACTTGAAAAGACTGATATGCTTAGCAATGCCAGGTAATTGAAATCTTGTCATACTGGATATACGAGTTTAGGAGTGTAGCCATTAATAATAAGACTTGCACTTATAGAACCATCTTTATAAACATGTTTTACTTTTCTTTTTTTAAACGACGGCCCTGAAATGTTCGATTGTTTCATTAGATAATACATATATAAATATGAGTGGAATTGACTTTAATATATTGTTTTTATCTTTGTAGAAACTTTCTCTTTAAGATTATTCTTTATATTTTTATGTTTTGCTTTGTATAGATATTGATGAGCTTGTCTTACCTGCTACGGTTTGTCCCGATTCACCCTTTTGTCCGTTGAGTCCCCTGTATCCTTGACTTCCTTTGCCACCTGGTTTAACAACACGTTATACAGCATAGAAACATTACCAAAATGTCAACGGCCATGGTCCCTTCAAGAGATGGTATCCGCTTACATTGCGAACGAAATGTACCATTAATACAATCATAACACCTCATCAACGCCTGAGATACCTAAGCGCGTAACAATTCAGGAATAATTTCAAAATAAAAAATGAAAATGCATAATTGCGTAAAAGCAATTATTCAATTAGATATCTAGGAACAAACAGGCACCATTCCCAAGTTATGGCCTTTCTGTACTGTAATTTAATACATTACAAAAATCCCGAATTTAGTGAGAATACCCTGAGTCGACTTCCTGTTCGCCAGTACAAATAACTACAGTAGATGATTGCATTGTGAATATCTCCTTTACACGATTTGAAGTGATTCACATTGTTCTATTTGTTCTATGACTCTCTGCGTATCAGGTAATATTCAAATAAATAAAAAACATATATAACCAATCACCCATGACCAAGGTATGAAACTGTTTTTTTTTTATTCAAACTACAATATTTAGTTATTATTGCTTTTATATTAAAGTCTAATATGAAATATTAAGCAGGTTTGCGCAGCATGGAAGAGGTCTGCCTTTCATCTGCTTTCATCTCATTATAAGTAAACATCTGAGCAGATGTAGTATAGAATGTTTATATGGTCCTTTGGACAACAAAAATATTAATTGACAGTGCCATCTGGGTTATAGACTATAATCTTTGTTGTGTGTCCAACAATCTCGTACTGTGACCTACGGAAACAGATGCTTTGGGAGGGTTTCGGCGACGTTGTGGAATCGCTTACCATCTGCTATTAGGAAGTCAAATACCCTGGCCAAGTTCAAGAGGGACATAAAAACTCACCTCTTCACGTCTGCATTTTAGAATGTTTGCAAGGACGTCATGTAAATACCACCCTTTTATTTGTTCAATTATGTGCACATTGCTTGTTAAATTGTATGAAAGTGATTGCAAGCCTGTGTTGTTTGTTTACACAATTATAACCATTACTATTATCCATATGTTGTAAAGCGCCTTAGAGTAATTTCACAAATTATATAGGGCGCTATATAAATAACCTCTCCTCTATCTGCAGGTTATGATCACCGGCCATAGAAAAGACATGCATCCAACCAATTAGTAATGCAGGGGTCAAGATTATTATTATCTCAAGCTCATCCAGCTGGGCATTCTTACCTCCTATAACCCCACTGTCCTGACAGCAATACAGGAAACAAAGGGTCTCCCCTCCCTACCTAATACATTCTTATCTCAAGCTCAGCCAGCTGGGCATTCTGACCTTCCATAACCTCACTGTCCTGACAGCAACACAGTAAATAGAAGGTATCGCCTCTTCACATAATTTACATACATGTGCGATATTGGGTATTGGTTCCTTACTGATAAGGGAAAGAGTATGAGATCCAAACCTAGGAGCTAGCGTGGTCACATGACAAGTGCTCTTTTTTCTAACTGTTCTAGCCAACTGCCCAGTTGTTTTCTGATGGTCAAGCTATACAGTCATACCATCCTCCTCCACCACCACCACCACCTTTAGTATGTTTATTGGTTGCCTGTCACTGTATCATTCCTCCCTTGGTTGACCCTCGGTCAACTGAAACAGCTTCACAGTAAACTGTCATCAGCTATGGCAATAAACTGTCATCAGGTAATAACATGTAACATGGATTATCAATGGTCCCAGTCTGTTGCTATACACCTTAAATCGGTCAATCCAACTCCAGAACCTAGGGTAAGCTGGACTGTATACATCAGCTCTATATGGCCCAGGGTAAGACAGTAAGTTGAACTCCAGGCCTAAGTGGCGTGACTCCCAATTCTAGCCGACTTTCGGACATCTAAGTGACCAGGCTATGGTGTTCCATGAGCTTCGGGTCAGTCACAGTCGTCCAAGTCCATGTTCGAACAGGGTTGTTGGCCACAGCTTTTCAGCACTCTGCTCTTCCAGCAGTACGGGGTCAATAGCTTATCGACTATTCTCCATCAGGTCCAAGGGAGGTACTACTACAGTTGATAACCATTAACTGAACCAAGTGCTGTTGAAATATATGGTGCTATCTTAGTAAGCCTACCTTTATCTCCCTTTAATCCGGTAAACCCCATGTCGCCAGTGGCACCTTTTTCGCCGTTTCGACCTGTATTGAACATCGTAAATTAGGTCAACATATATCAACAAGAAAAAAATACAATATCTTGCATCAATAAAGTAGAGAAAATACCACATTGATAAACACATTCACAAAGTCATCAATAAGGTCGTCAACAATTTCAGACTAGTGAACTTAAAAAACACTAATCGCTTGGTCTGAAAATATTTTCATGCTGTTTTAAGAGTGTCAGTAATTGTCTACTACTTCTCAGCAAAGTACCACTATTTGTGAAGCCTCTCTGATTGTGCGTATATCCCTGTCAGTTTAGATTGGACAGTAGTTAAATTGCTCCATACTTGAGATCCTAAAACAAATTGCTAAACGAAACACAGATTGTTATGAAAGGATCTTCTTTCGATTTGGATGTTTAATTTAGTAACATATTTAATTTGTACGAGATTTCAGTCTCTATATTTATTGATCTTTCCTAGAATCTTTCTAAGACAAACATAACAAAGTTCCAATTATCTTAGCTACATGAATAACTTTCTCATTTTTTTTCAATTGAGGATGGACAAGTTTGACAGGTTTGATTAATGATTTAAAGATTGACCGATGAAATCACGTGTAGGATGCTACCAACTAGCGGGTAATAGACATGGTAACTCCTAGTAGGTTTATTCAATTGGTCGCGTTTGAGGGAACTTTTAATGGTTGTGGGAAAAACCTCATATTTTACTTGAAAAAATTGTTTCAAAAAGGATGATCTGTAGAGAATATAATTATAACAGATTCATCAATTGCAGCATCATAAATAAATACGGATATAGCAGGTTACCCATAATATAACATCAGGCAACCCCAATGGTAATATAAACCACATAAAAATGTCATATTCAACTACTACTCCCTCTATATATTTAATTTTGGAGATAGTAAGTAAGCCACGATTTATTAATCTCCCATTCTGATTTTGCCGTTACCTTATGCCTTATCGATGTACATTAACAATGTTAAAAAGAACAAGTATTTAAATATGAAATCGGATTGACTACACATGTAGAAATACACATAAATTGATTATTAATTCATCTTAAATATGTATTTCGTCTATCCACTGCTAAATTTACCAGATACACCAATGAAACCCTGACGTTCCGGCCCCCCTGTAGGTTCGGGTATGATGAATAGGAAATGGGGGTTCTGCGCCAGTCCCATTCCTCCTTCTTTATTTATAGTAAATCCCTCCCTATTGGGATGGATCAGTGAGGGATGAGTGATGGATGAGGGATATATACACTCATAACCTGAGAGGTAACGGACCGACCTCTTTTCCACATAGGTCAGTTGATAATCTCCGTCCGAAATAGGGATTATTGAGGGATTGCCTTGCGTCAAGTCTATTTTTAGTACAAGCGGTTATGGTATGTTTATATATATAAAACTATGAAGAACATATTATTGATTCATTCTAGGATCATGGGGTGGAAAGAATACTTTGACCAGATATACTTTGATTTGAACAATCGTATTAGTTATGCCGGTCGTGGAAAAATATATCGGTATTTGAAGAAAGAGGGAAAGTACAAAATTGGTCTTCATAGCTGTCATTGTGGTAGTCGGATGGAGAATTGGATAGCACGAATTTGCCCTTCACTACAATTCGATTCTCCGATCAGACACGAAAAGGTATGGGATCACCTGCCGACGACATGGGTTTTCTCCGGATACTCAGGTTTCTACCACATTAAGATCACGTGCGCGCTTACATCCGGCCCAAGAAGCGTGACTGATGTGATGGATATAACTTGTTACATGATTGTGGTAAAATAGATAAAGTTAATGGTTTGCTATCATCTGCATAATCGACCTTACAAATGTACGCGTAGTAGAATTTGACTTACCAAATACAGTGTTACCCGGTTCTCCCTTTTGTCCAGAATGTCCTGTGAATCCTTGATGTCCGTTCGCGCCTATGTACATAATACAGAAGTATGTAGACGACACGTAAAAAAAATATGAAATATAACCACACCTTTCGGGAATGCATGCTCTATGGATTAAGAATAAAACGTGAGAGCCTGTAAAACCGGTCTCAATGAAAAAAGCAACCATATAGTGGCCCCTGTTTACGTGTAAATAACTAATAGAGGATGCTAAGTACTTCTCTCAACATAAACACATCAATTTAGCTTGAATATACATAATACTATGACTGGCATAGTATAAACTATACATAATGATATATTAATTGATTTGAGGTTGTACCAAATGTTGAAAATTTTATCGTGGTCAACCAAAATGAATTTAGAAGATCCCTCTTTATTGTAAACATCATAATGCGAAATGGGGACCAGCGTACCAGTCGCTCCTGTCGATCCTTTTGGTCCCACGATACCAGGACTTCCGGTGTTTCCCTTTGACCCAATTATACCAGGACTTCCGGTGTTTCCCTTTGACCCAGTTATACCAGGACTTCCGGTGTTTCCCTTTTGCCCTGCGATACCATGTCTTCCGGTGTGTCCTGTCGGCCCAGTAGGACCAGCTGGTCCAATGTCCCCTTTCAAACCTAAATCACCGTTTTCTCCTTTTTGACCTGAAATATCGGACAAAAGTTTTTCTTGGTTACATCTTTTTGTCTATTTAACTGTTAAGAACATTCAACGGTTTCACATGTTATTAAACACTAGAAATAGTTGATGTGTATTGTTTGATAACACATTTCTTTCTTTATATAAACGTATATGCCATTGCAATCCTGCAGACCATTAATTGACCAATCATAGCTTTACACTTATCTATAGAAATATTTCGTCGTGCGTAATAAAAGTCCTAACTGCCGCTTTTCAAACTTTGGGACAATATTTGGTGCATCAAAAGAAGATACAATGTGTAAAAGTAAAAGAACAGTAACTGCAAAATTATGCAAAATCACCATTTATTTTAAATGGAAATTGGCATATGAATATATGGTATAACAAAATAAAGTCGAAATAGTAATATGCAAACAAACCTAAATAGGGAACATTCAATATTTAAAACTTTTGCGCACTGAAAATTCCATCTATTGGCATAGAAATGTAGGTTAATGAGGATGAATGATAGCAATTTGGACACATGGTTTTAGTTAAATGCGGTTCAATCGAAGACACGTGTTTTTAATTGTGAGGAGTTATTTACTGTTATCGGTGTTTGTTAGGTTAGAGATCCTTAAGTCAGTCAAACATCGTAATTACCAGTTCTTCCGTCGGCACCAAGGGCTCCCGGCCTTCCAGCGTCTCCTTTGGATCCGGCTTGACCAACTTCTCCTTTAGGCCCGGTTGGACCAACGTCTCCCTTGGCTCCATCTTGACCTGTGAATTATGATTATATCACAAAAGTCTGACATGATAAAGTTTCAACATTACAAATTGAAAAAAAGTAAACAAAATGCAAACAATGTTCCTTGAATGTTAGAATTACCTTAAATAATGCATGGGCATATTAGCATTGCTCGTTTAAATAACTTCACAACGTAACAGGATATATTTCAGAAAGTTTGTCAGCAGATATTTCACGGTGACTGTGAGCATTATTTTCTCTGAGCAATGGCTATTTTAGCAAATGTTATTATGGTCCTATAATACGCATTGCTATTGATGAAAATCTTGATAAATCCAGGCAGGGCTTTATGTAAGTTTGTCAACAATAGAACTGTGTGTTATAGGACCATAACAACATTTGCTAAACTAATCATTATTTATATTTACATTTTAATAGAGTAATTACGCTTTACTTTGTTATTTCGAACATCAAATTAAGTCTTAACAATCATAAAATTGATAACGTCACAATAGAGATTGATGACGTTACAATAGTAAATATTGTTATAGTCTGCAGAGCAAATGTAAATATTTTCATTTGAGTCGCCGTGTCAAGTTTGACAAAACAAAATACTGCATCAATAGTAACTATAATTGATATCAAAACCCAGAATCGTCACACAGAGGTTATTCCACCTACAACACTTCCAAATTAGTCTGTGTCTCCCAGAATAAAAATTTAATATTTCAATATTGCTATGTGATTAAAAAATTAAATCACGCCAAACCAGTGCACTTTCATAAATATTCTACAGGATGGCTCCAAACATTAAATATATGAAATCAAATGTTCTACCACCTTTGGGTCGACATACCCATATACTTCCATGTGCCAAACCAACATGTTGTTCCCGCACTACTTAACATTTACCATCTTGTCCGTCGTCGCCATTGAATCCCGATATTCCAGCGCCGCCCTTCTGTCCGTGTCTTCCAGGCTCACCTTTGTCGCCCTTCTCACCTGGGTAAGATTTTATTAGAAACTGTTTTATAGAAATATATTGTTTTTCTATATCTTCTCTGTGTAGGCATCATTTTTTTGGTAATTGTTTTTGATCAGTTACCATATTTCTAGCTAAAATACATACTTGTTACGCTTAATAGTGTGATGATCGGAAATCTGAATGAGCTAAAACATATTCGATGAGAATTTGTTGAATGCACATTAACTATGGTCTATTCAAAACAAGACAAGTGCAACAATCTGCAAACGAGACAGACCATGTATTTTGGTCAAATCTTGTATCATATTCAAGTTTAAAGCATCCAAATTTACAGCATGGCGCGAACAACGGTTACATTATTGTGTGTTCTATCGCCTGTAATAATATCAACATCACTTTTGATAAGAATTAGTGCATCAGTGATTCAAAAAGAATGTATACAATATCTTATTAGTAAAGGTGCTATCGATACAAAGCTAACACAATAAATTGGTGTGACTGACGAAAAATACTTGGATAAAGAGTGTTATGTGAAGTCAGTTACTTTATAGAGTAAACCGACACCAAAAAGAGAATTTAACACGTGATGTATTAGTACCGTCTAATCCATCATCCCCGTTGAATCCTGCGATCCCATTGTTTCCTTTGGGTCCGGGATCGCCTTTGTCACCTTTTGGTCCTGGTTTTGCTGGTGGTTAACGTGTAGTTGAAATAAGCAGTTACGTAAGTTATGAAAGATTGAGATAATAAAGTATTTGATTAGACATTTACTTGTACTTCAGTTGACAATAATGAAGGCATTACACGAAACTGCAAAGAAAATAAAGGGTGCATGTACCTGTATTTCAATTTGTCTTGATTGATACTTGCATAGATTCCATAGAAATAGTTTTCTACCTTTCTCCGTTATATGTTAAATCTGTTCATGTAACATATCAGTATATCTCTGTTTCCGTGCTGGCATGCTGAATATGATCATGATGTCTGTTTTTGGAACCCTGTTTACATATCATTTTCATTTGTGATAAAACATTTTTTTTGTATTTGTTTTCTATGTTCCCGACTCATGCCTACACCAATGTACATTTTTACTCTTATATCTTCAATATCATATCTAACAGCACTTTATTTAAAATCGATCATTGTACCTTTACAACTGTTAGAATGTTACTAGTATATCATGAACCACTTACACACAATATCTCTCCTAGTCTTCTGTGACGTCGGTGATCCCGTGATCGGTACGAGATGTTGTTGATCTAGTCCTCCCGATATTCTCCCGCCAGTGTCACTGATATCATCAGGAGTTACATTCTCCTGTTGCATTCTTTGTGGGGTAAAAGGGAATAGCAGATATTAGTTTACAAAAACCAAGGAATTATAAAGTAAATGGTAGAGCCATACGACTTTTATATTCTGTACAATCCTAAGATAGAGTCCCATCAACTTTCTGCTGTGTACGGGGCTTGAGGTAGAGAGTCCCCTCACGTTTCTACTGTACACAGCTATCAATGTAGAGAGTCAATAACTTTCTACTGTACACAGCTCTCACGGCAGAGAGTCAATCACTTTCTACTGTACACAGCTCTCAAGGTAGAGAGTCAATCACTTTCTACTGTACACAGCTCTTAAGGTAGAGAGTCAATCACTTTCTACTGTACATAACCCTCAAGGTAGAGAGTCAATCACTTTCTACTGTACATAACCCTCAATGTAGAGAGTCAAACACTTTCTACTGTACAAAGCCCTCAAGGTAGAGAGTCCCCTATTTTTGCTACTCTATACAAGCCTTGGGAGAGAGTCTCGCCATCTTTCTGCTGTGTACATGTCTTAAGGTAGAGTCCCACCCCTTTTCTACTGTACAAAGGCCTTAAGGCAGATAGTCCCACCACCCACGTTTCTACTGTGTACAAGCCTTAATGCAGAGAGTCCCACTACGTTTCTACTGTGTACAGACCTTAAGGTAGAGAGTCCCCTTACTTGTCTACTGTACACAGTCCTCAAGGTAGAGAGTCCCCTCACTTGTCTACTGTACACAGACCTGAAGGTAGAGAGTCCCCTTACTTGTCTGCTGTACACAGGCCTCAAGGTAGAGAGTCCCCTTACTTGTCTGCTGTACACAGGCCTCAGGTTAAAGAGTCCGATCACTTTTCTATACTATATTCAGGTCTTAACGTGGGAAGTCCCCATCCCTACTCTACTGCATACAAGCCTTCAGGTAGAGTCGAACCACTTTTCTGCTGTTTTCAGGCATTGCAAAGATATTTTTTATGGGTTTGTTTTGTTTATGTTAGCGTAAACAAAGGTAAGTTACGCAGTTAGAACAATCTGAAATTATTCCCAGTTAAGTTGCAATGTAGAAACGTATTTTAAAACATAGCAAATATTATGACACATTGGTTTATCTGCCGGGTTAAAAGTCAACCGTTTCGGGGATCCCAAGAGGTTTTCAAAAGGGACATTATGTAAAATAGTTTCCTCTCCACCTAACACTTTGCTATAGTGACTGGGCAAGCAGCTCCAAGTGAGGAAAATGCTGAACCAATGGAAACCTTCCCTGTTAGAGATACAACAGAGAGCGCTGAGAGTTTTTGTTCTTTTACGTCTGTTTTAATTAATGTATCGGGCTGATATAACAGGTCATTAAACTATTTGACACAAATAGATTAGAACAAAAAATACATATTTTTACTAATGCTATAGTTCAATTAAGAAAATGGTGGCATAGTTTATGTAAGTCAGTAATATTTCAACTGGATATTTATCGTCCACAACAGTCAGTTTGGTTTGGTTTGTTTGTGTTGTACGTCCTATTAACAGCTATGGTCATTTAAGGACGTGCCAGGTTTTGGTGGTGGAGGAAAGCCGGAGTTCCCGTAGAAAAACCACCGACCTACGGTCAGTACCTGGCGACTGCTCCACGTAGGCCTCAAACCTGCGAGCCAGTGGTGGAGGGCTAATGGTAGCAGAATATCAGACGCCTTAACCACTTGGCCACTGCGGCCCCCTTACCACAGTTTGTCAAATAAAGTTACATTACATTAAAAAAAATAATTCCGTACAAAGATGCTGAGAGGAGATTACTCAACCAAAAGTATCCAATGTAAGAGTAAAGTAGCATGAAACATTAACTACCTGAGCCGGTGCAGTTCTTCAGACAACATCCGGTATTTAAATTCCAGCGCAGAATTCTTCTCACGAACACCCCCGAACTCCATCAGAATAGTTTGGACAACGTCTTCCAATGAAGTCATCCTTTTGTTAAGATTTCGATGGTCACCGTCAACCTGACCATCGGCTATACAAAATATGGAATATATCCACAGGAAAAATATGCACATCTCCATTTTAGATCTTAGCTGGATCGTCAGGTCAACACTTGTACTGGCTCTCCGATAACGCAGAAAGAAAATGTTTTAAAAGATTTGTCGGCTTTCGTATGTATGGTTTTGATAGATTATGGTAAGATGACTCACATATTGTGCTTTACAAAAACAGCTGTTAATAAGATATCACTTTTCTTTAACACGTTCGTTATGTAACTATTTATCTGGTGTTTTTATATGAGAGTAACCCTGATTTGCTTTTCCATAGCATAAGCGTCCTTATAATCGTTTGGTAAAGACAAAAGGTTGTACCAAGAAGGGTCATTACTTATCAGGTGTCGATTAAGATTTTACTTATACAACTTATAACTATTGACCTCGGTGAACACTGTGACGTTGAGATAGGATGCACGGTAGTCCAGTGGTAGGACACCGGGCTCGTGACCGAAGGGTTGCGGGTTCGCGCCACGGCACGGAAATGGGTTGTATCTTTGAGCTTTTTCCAGTTTACTCAGCTGTAAATGAGTACGTGGTTGGGCAGTGCTAGAATTGTTGAATGCTAGCTGTTAGCGCCGAAATGGCAGCTCCGGCTGTATGCTACACAGGGAGTTGAGAAATATATTGGCTGGATGCAAATACCCTATAACCACGGATAATAATTTGTGAACCGCTTTGAGACGACCTACGAACTAGGATGAGATAAAGCAGTATATAAGAACCTACAAATATTATTATTATTATAGATAACACAGAGAAACGATGACAGCGCTAGATGTTGCAGTATATAATTGAACCACAACAAACATGTTGATTCCATAGGTAACTATTTACTAATATAAGGAGAAAAAATTGATATACAATGCATTTGTATGACCCTAGTTTATTTTGTCGTATTTCAATCAAACTATAATTACCAAAATAAGATATGTTACAAAATTATGATAAATATTATTTGTTTTAGATTGATCCTTATTCATTTCCCCGTTATCTAGCCTGAGGACATCGTTGTTCAATGGAAAATTGGAAGACACAAAATCAACACCAATCTACATACTAACTTCAGGTACCTCGTTGTCATACCTGGACACAGGTATAGGGTGTGTTAGACCTTTTGCTGTCAGCACTGGACACATGTGTGCTAAGTGTTATTTACCTGTACATAAATGTCACACCTAAGTAGATTATTATTATTATTATTATTTCTTTATTTCCTCCAATTAGAAGAGTTACAAGAACATATATATTAAGTTAAGTAATGGTCAATTCATAATTAAATATACTTATGTTCAAAAATTACGTGAAAACATAAATTGCTAAAACATTGTTCACCTGTGATCAAAATGCTAGCACATTCCACATAGGGCAATTCATTCTCAGATAAACATGCATTTCATGTCAACAGAAATAGCACTTCAAAATCTAATTTACATAACTTATTATGGAGGATACCTCCAAGTAGTATGTGAACCAAATTGTAGTCTAACAAGGAGTGCAAGTAAACAAATAGTTCTATATCAAACTCGGTACTAATAAGGCACCAAAGATCGTCTCTTAGTTTCACATTTTTTTGTACATCAAGGACAACGTGTGTAGTAATGTCAGTGTATAAAATACCACAAAAATGACACAACTCAATTACATTGGTAGATCTCATTTCTACGCACAACCTTACTACATCATTTATCATATCCAAGTGCTCAGGGAACTTCAAAGCTAATTTTCATAAAGTATGTGGACAAATTGTATCGTGAATAAACAAAAATCTAGAAAAATCAGAATCACTAATTATTCTACCATGCATCATCCGTTTTGATATAAATCATATTTGCGAAGTATTCTCTCAATATCAGGAATAAAACCGCCTTCACAAAAAAACAACATACAAACGATGCATAAGAAGGCGTTTCAGAAATACTGATTGGGTTAAATATTTTCTATTCATCCCACAAAATCGACCAAGGAACAAAAGTTTTCTTATATCAATGTACGCTTCGATTGATGTCCATCCAATTAGTGAGTTAGCCATATCGGTTCTAGTCTTAGCACTGTAAGCTTGAATATATACACGATAACATTTTGAGCACGTTCTAGTTTAATTAATTCTGTTTTAGACAGTTGCCATAATTCACACCCATATAAAGCAGACGGAAACACTTTTGTCTTAATTATTCTGGCTACAGTTAAAGGTTTCAGAGTTCTAGGGTGAGCACCAGACCTTATAAGAGCCATTGTACCTCTTTTTAATTTTCTTTAATCTGTCTCTGTTCTATATTATGAACAAAATTTATAATTTAACATAACACCCACAAGAGTAATATTATCAACAACTGGTCAAGATTTTCCATACAAATACACATCTTGTGGCAACGCTTGCTCTCTGCCCTTAGTAAAGACGCCACTTTTACTTTTGTTAACAGAAAACGAGACTAGTATTGCTGATTAAACATCTATCGTCAGCCTGTGTAGGGATATTAACCGTGGAGTCGATAAGCATTGCTCCTTTTCCTGACGATTCTACTTCATTTGATAAATCTTTAATAAAAACAAAATAAATTGTTGCCGATAAGGACCCACCCTGTAATATATCCCTTTTCATAAAAACAAAGGATAACATATGACCTTGAAATGCAACATTACTAACAAAGCCAGTATACATATGTTTTTGATAGTCAAAATTTCGCCCTTGAAACCGAAATTATACAGTTTTAGAAGCAACCCGTCGTGCCAAACAGTTTCAAATGCTTTATTGCTATCTAAAAAGGCGATAAAGGAATCTGAACCATTTTCTGGATTGTATATGATACATTCTTGCAAATTAAAAGAAGTGCATCAAATGCATATCATTTTTCGGATAAGGTGATTGTTGCTTTTTTGGACATGTTTTGGAATCCAACAAAGAATTCATTCTAATAGACAAAACTGATTCAATTTTCTTTTAAAAAGACTGATATGAGAGTTATACCTCTATAACTGTTTGGGTCATCTTTGGGGTTTCCAATACCTTTATAAAACGTTAAAATTGTTCCCGGGCGCTTCCAATATTCGGGTATGTGGTCAAACTTTGCAACAAGATTAAACAAATGTGTAACGTAACTTAATAACGTATCACCTCCATTCTCAATATGTTCATAGACGAGGCTATCATAGCCGCCAGCTCTGTTATTCTTTAGTTTTAAACATACTGCTCTATTTTCATCAATGGTAAAAACCTCCTCCAGAAACATATCTCTGCTGTGATTAATCTTATTTTGGATATCAACAATATTGATTGACACGTCTTGGAAATAGGCGTCATCAAAAGACTAGTGTAATTCATTACTAAAAAGCTTGTTAAAATGATCACCCAATGCTTTTATAATCTGTTCAGGTTCGCGTAGGATGGTACCATTACATTTCATTAATTTCTGTCTGACAACCACAGACATTACGACAACGACTTTTGAATAGTTTCCAGATGAGATTTTGGTCAACATCTCCAGATTTATCAATTTCGGCGAATTGCTCTTCCATATATGTATCAAAAGCGTGGCTAAACAACGCCTGAAATTTGTTATATTCTAAAAATACATAATTGTCTCCCCTTTGTCAATTCGAAACATGGGCGCCGTTACTCCCAGTCTGTAAAACTCCTCTGGTTGTTTCATCTCCCATACAGAAGTGTTTTCTATCGATTCTACGTATAAGTGTTTGATCAGGTGTGGAATCAAGACTTGGTTAGCATACTCAATATGTGGTCTCACCAGGCCTTTGTATAGCGCTGTAAAGTAGTGAGATCCGTATACTCCATTGTTCTTCTGAGCATCCCAATGATGGAATTGGCTTTGTTTATATTTTCAGAAAAGTGGACATTGAATGATAGTTTATTGTCGAGAGTGATTCCGATATCTTTTTCAGTTTCGGTATATGGAAGTTCTTTTCCATCTTCTAAAATGTATTTGAATTTGTTGCTGTCATTTTTACCAATTCACGTGCCTTTGCATTTATCTGGATGGAAGAACAGGAACCACATTTTGTTCCATGCCTGTGCTTTTTGCAGGTCTTCTTGCAGACACTTGCAATCCTGGGTGTTGAATATGGGACGGTATAATTTGATATCATCTGCAAATAGGTATGTTTTTGTATCCACACTTGTTATATCTGGGAGGTCATTTATGTATAATACAAATCGAACTGGTCCTAGTACTGATCCTTGCGGAATGCCACTGCTCACTTCCTTCCAGCATGATGCGTCTCCATTTACTGTTACACCTTGTTATCGATTTAGAAGGAATGCCTTTATCCAGCTCGTAATTTTACCGGTTAAACCGTACATGCCAATTTTATTATTATTCTCTTTATTTCCTCCTTTAAGAAGATTTTACAAACAGAATAATGTAGTTACCATAATAAATAAGACAATTAATGCAAAATCAAATAGATGGTAAGGCAATATTAGTGCACAACATAATTAGTTAACACAATAGGAATAGGTTAATCAATCTGAGTACAGTTTTCAAAAGAATACATAATTAATAATGTTAAGAATGAAAGTATTATGCCTCCTTTTCGACATGGCTGTGTTTCTCATTGAATGATATACACCAAAGAATTGAATAATCATTCGAAGTATGCATTAAACATTTTTGAAATATGATTGACTGAAGCCATACGAAATTCTGTTAACTCTGATGTATTCAATTCATACGTTATATTTCCACCAATCAGTAGGTGAAATAATTCAAAGTCTGAATGAGGGTGTAAATATACGCTAAACATAAATTCACATGTATTAATGACTTGACACCATAACTGATCTCGCAAGTCTTCTGTACAATCACATTGTAAAACTATGTGGGTATATCTATCGTTATACATTTGTCCACATTTATGACATAATTTAGTTTTTTCTGAAAGTCTTAGAGATACAATCAATTTCATTATACTATGTATGGCTTCTCTGTTTTGAGGAAATTTTATTAACAATTTCCACAATATATGGGGAGCCAAATTATCATGAACAAATATAAATCTGCAGAAATCGCGGTC